CCGCCTTTCACTCCCTTTAAGGAGTCTCAAAGCATCTAACATTCTCCTTTCCCTTCCTCCCCCACAACAAACACTCTGTGAGGTGAGTGGGGCTGAGAGACTTCAAAGAAGTGTGACTGGCCCAAGGTCACCCAGCAGCTGCATGTGGAGGAGCGGAGACTCAAACCCAGTTCACTAGATTACGAGACTACCGCTCTTAACCACTACACCACACTGGCATATAAGCATTGCCATTCCTCAGCCAAGTTGTATCTAAGGCATTGCAATGAGCGGTACAGCATAGCTAAAAGGGTATTTGGGAAGAGTGTAAAGCCAATGAACTCTCTGAGCAGAAAGCACAAAGTCTATCAGGAACCTGTCATGGAGAAAGTGTAGGATTGGGTTGCCAGCATCGAGTTCTGTCCAGCACTGCCTCACAAACTTGCCACTGTCTCTGGTGCAAGGCAGTGAGAAGCTGCCCTTGCATTTATGTAACTATGTGTTAACTGGCTTTAAAGGGCTTTTACAAATACTTGGGGTATGGTGGCCTTTTTTTACATCCCACATTATAAAAGAAGAGTGCTCTTCTGGTGGCACTGAGGAGGCCATGATTGTTAAATTTGGTGGGAACCATGTGCCAACATTTGGGCAGAGCGTTACGATGTATGCTGTATGTTTTTCTTCTTCTTACAAAGATGTACTCCTTGCTGTCTGCCTCTTGTCACGTTTCTTTGCCTGGCTGGGACAAAAAGAGCAACCCAGAGCCTTGGAACAAGCTGTGACCCAACGACCAGTACAAGGTATGGTAGGAAATACTTAACTAGGGTTATGATGCTGGTTATCTTATAGGCCAGGGATGGGGAGCCTGGTGTCCAGCAGAGATTGCTGGGACTCCAACTCCCATCAGCCCCATCCCTGAAATCTACGGAAGATGGGCTAATAATAATAATAATAATAATAATGGCCATTTGGTGGGAGGAATAATAAGCTTCAGCTTTGGAAGGCCTGGTGTGTGTGATCACAGCATTTGGGGTTGGACTAGATGACCCTTGGGTTCCTTCTATGATTCTTCATTCTCCTCTCCAGTTCAATCTTCTAAACTCTGACTGAAGAAGCAGGATAGACCCCTGAGTTTCTGCCATTGACTTGTGGTTCTTCCTGCAAAATTGCTTTTAAGCCCATTAAAGTTGAATGATTAGAGATCCTTTCCTGCCACTTCCGAGTCACCTTCAATGGTATCCCCACGTAGAGCGCATGGTAGTAGTCCAAGCTGGAGATAACGCTTAACCGTGCTGCCCTCTTTCAGTTCTATGTGGTGAATGCAGACTATGACAAGCTGAAAAAAGGAGCGCCCAGATATCTGAAGAGCAAATGAATCTGGGAGCTATAGTTTGGGTCTTTGGGTATGATGCTTTTGTAACTGGATCTGTAATGGCTTTTAGTCAAATACAATAAATGATTGATTGATTGATTGATTGGCTGACTGATTGGTGAAAAAGTGCTTTTTTACTGAGATGCTAACTTTCTCTCTGCATGCCATTCCTTGAACAGTGAAGATAAGGCTTGCTTTCATTGCTCTGTTCATTTGCGCATTTGACTAGTGTCATGTGGAGGGAAATGCAGCCCCTGGGCTGAAAAATGTCCCCCTCCTGCCCCCTTGGGTGTCCGGTGTGGCCTTCACAGATATAGACACAACTTGGGGGAGGGTGTTTTGGCTGCTGAGCTGCGCCTCCCCCCCCCCATTGTGAGGGCTGAGGGTGTGATGGTGATGCCTCCCCAGCTGCTGCCATTGTCTGTGGGTTGACTGTGATGCCACAAACACATTTGGCAGCTGAGCGGGTATCAATGTGGGCCGAGGCGCAAGCCTCAGCAGTTGCCCTCCCCATAGAGAAATGGGCAGCTTGGTGGCACTCAGCCCTGGTGGTCTCCTGCCCCGTGGCAGCAAGCTGACAAGCGGAAGGAGGCAATCGGCTGGTGCTGGGATGCTGTGGAGCAAGGAGAAGGCAAGTACAAAGTTTACTTGCTGGTGAGATCGCTACCTGAAGGCAACGGATATTCAGCCCTGAAGCTGTTTGATGTCTGGCAATGGACCTGGCGAGGCTGCAGCTGGTGGGTGGCTGTTGGAAGAGTTTGCGTTCAGGCTAGTGGATGCCGTGAGGCTACACTGGCTGAGATGGATGCAAAGTGGTTTGGAAGCCTTGTTTGTTAACAGGCAGCCAAACAGAGGAGGAGTCTGGGGGGACGCTGTTGGATGGGGGCCATCCCACTCACCTCTTTGCCTTTGCCTTACAGGGATGTCCAAAGCCGGTGAGGTTTTCCCCAAGTCCAGCCTTCAAAGTCATGAAGAGAACTGCAGGACGTCCCTATTTACATTGGAGAAATGAACGTGAAATACTGGGAGCGAACAATGGACAAGGCCGTGGCCGTACCTGAGAGAAGGAACTTTGAAGGAAGACTGCAGGCGGACATCTGCTGCATCGCAAGTGATGGGGCAGTGGGGAGAGAGAAGAAAATGAGGCAGGAAACATTAGGCCACATTAGGCGCACCGTCCATTGGAAGTGCTATGAAGACGCTTTGAACAGGAATGGCTTCCCCTCAGGGATTCTGGGAACTGTAGGTGGTTAAGGGGACAGAGAGTTGTTAGGTGGCTTAGGTTTAGGCTTAGCGTTAGGCTTAGGCTTAGGGGTAGGGGTAGGGGTAGGGGTAGGGGTAGGGTTAAGTTGGGGTAGGGTTAGGGTTAGGGTTAGGGTTCCCTTCTTGTCAGGGAACTCTGGGAATTGTAGCTCTGGTTAGGGGGTAGGGGTAGGGTTCCCTTCTTGTCAGGGAACTCTGGGAATTGTAGCTCTGGTTAGGGGGTAGGGGTAGGGTTCCCTTCTTGTCAGAGAACTCTGGGAATTGTAGCTCTGGTTAGGGGGTAGGGGTAGGGTTCCCTTCTTGTCAGAGAACTCTGGGAATTGTAGCTCTGGTTAAAGGTTAAGGGTTAGCGTCAGGGTTAGAGTTAGGGTTAGCGTCAGGAGTAGGGGTAGGGGTAGAGTTCCCTTTTTGCCAGGGAACTCTGGGAATTGTAGCTCTGGGAGGGGAACAGGGGGTCTCCTAACAACTCTCTGCACCCTTTTCAAACTATAGCTCCCAGATTCTTTGGGGGAAGAAGCCATGAGTGTTTAAAGCGGCTTCATAGCACATGAAATGGTGTGGATGTGGCCCTGGCCTCCCTCACCCCACTGCCCCTTATTGTTGAGGAATTGAAAAGATTTCCCCATGCAAATCTCTTGGAAACAATCTATTTCATCTGGAAAACTATTTAATAAAGATTACTTTTTATTAAAACCTTTGAATGTGTTTGAACTGTGTTCAGAGTGCGCAGAGAATGATTTCACTTCAAAGAAATGCCCTTAGATTACAGAATCATGGAAGAGTTAGATGGGACCACGAGGGTCTTCAAGTCCAGCCCCTGCAGGAATCTTTTGCTCTACATGGGGCTCAAAGGACAGCCCTGAGATTAAGGGTCTCGTGCTCTACTCAGTGAGCTATATGGATTGATCTAAATAGCAAACACCAATTATTTATTTTTTACAATTTACAGTGGTGTAAAATAAAGGGTGTAGGAAATGAAATGATTGTTGCCTTTTCATTGTTTAAGGATGTTTTGTTAAGACTTTTGATTCAACACACTTATTTCAATATACAGTGGTACGTTGGTTTTTGAACTTAATCCGTTCCGGAAGTCCATTCTTAAACCAAAGCGTTCTTAAACCAAGACGTGCTTTCCCATAGCAGCAGGGGACTCAATTTATAAATGGAACACACTCAACAGGAAGCGAAACATGTTCTGCATGCAAGGCAAAGTTCACAACCCAAAACACCTACTTCCGGGTTTGCAGCGTTCTTAAGAATTTCGTTTTATTTTTTAAGTAACAGCAACACTCCTGAATCGCCCTCCCTCTCTGCAGCAGCTGGAGAGATAACCATAACATACAGTAAGTCATATAAAACTTGTCAATAAATAATATGCACAGATAAATGAGCAAACAGGCTTTAGTCTAATGGGTTAGGATGCAGCTTTTTTTAGGGCAATGTCCCTTTCCCTCTCCACAGGTGGTTTAGAAAAGACTGGATTCCTCTAGGTCAGAGATCGATAATTTAGCTTTCTGGGCCTTGCAGAGCCTGGGAGCTGCTTCCCCTCCGTCTCTTGGCCTCTGCCATGTTGACTCCTTTGAGCTCTTAACATGCCTGTGCAGACCACTTTCTCAGGCAGGTTTGTCAGCAGCGCTGTGTTTCTGCCAGCACCTTCTTAATTTTGCTAGCCCCCGCTGCCAAAAGAGACCCAGCAAAGAGGCTTGTAGCAGCCGTCCCCAACTTGCTGCCTTCCAGATGTTGTTGACCCAACTCCCATCATCTCTGACTGTTGGCTATGCCGATGGGAGTTGGATTCCAACAGCATCTGCATTGCTATCCTGTGCAAACGAACCTGTTTGGCTGGGATTTTTGGGTGGGCAGGAAGGTGAAGGGAATTTGGAGAGTCCAGGTGGTTCATGGAGCGTGCTCTGCTTTTATCTGTTTTGTATAAGCAGTGTTGGATCGGTTTTATTCTTGTGTTATATTATAATGTAAGCTCCCATGGAATCTTTGGAAGAAAGGCAGGTTAGAAATTGTTAAGTTGTGGGTGAACATATCAGACGACACAGCGATTCTTCAAACAGCTCTTATTTATTCACAGGCCAGAACAGAACTGAACTGAAGGGTTCAGTCCGCCTGCTTATATAGAGCTCCAGTACAACGTTACTGTAACAACTTTCTAAAACTATCCAATCACTGAACGTCACTTTCGATCCCTTATTTGCATAACTATCTACAGTATCCCCCTGCTGGCCCAGGGTGAGAACTTCAGTACATAACACCCCTCCCCACCGAGATAAGGCGTTAGTTACAATCGTAATGGTTTCCTTATATACAGCACTACACGTAATGGTTCAGTTAGGCACAAAAGCATATCGGTTACATTTCACATACTTCCACATACTTAGACCAACAGTGTTACATGTCCAACAACATAGTCCTTTAAATAAGTTGGGTGCTTGGAAACTCTGCCAGACTGCAGGGGACCGGTACCCAAGTCTGGGGGACTGCCCAATTCTTGCTGAGGCTGTGGCGCGACCTTAGGTGGCATTGAAACCAAGTCCCCTGGATCCGCTGCTGTAGGTGGAACCTCTGCAAGTGGAGTTGGCGGAATGTCAGGCACGGCAGTGGTCTGAGTCTGTGGGAAGTCCTGCAGACTCTCTGTGGTGGCTTGGTTCGGCTCCACGCCCTCAGTTTGTGAGAGAGGTGTAGGTGGAGCCTCACCATCTGTAAGTGTCTGTTCCGGAGCCACGAGCGCAGTTGGGGGCACCACGGTAGTGCCCAAGTCCCCAACCCTGTGCCTAAGCTGGTCTATGTGCCGGCGCCACAAACGTCTGTCTTTGAGCGCCACCTGATATGAGCGAGGTCCAGTGACTCCCACTACTGTGGCTGGCACCCAAGGAATGCCCCCCACAAAGTTCCTGCAAAGTCCTGGTTTTCTGGAACAAATGACAGTGGTGCGTTGGCACAGCCTGGGGGTTCGGCCATGGCAAAGTCTGGGTGCAGCTGGTCGAGCAGGGACCTGAGGCGGCAGCCCATAAGCAGTTCGGCAGGACTCCGCCTTGTGGCCGCATGAGGTGGTGATGTGCTGCACGAACAAGTATTCGGCGACCCACTCGTGCCAGTCTCCCTGGTCCAGGCACGCCAGTGCCTCTTTTGCCGAGTGCACCATTCTCTCTGCTTGCCCGTTGCTGGATGGATGAAATGGTGCCGTTAGGGCATGGTGGATGCCCAGTCGCAAAAGGTACCGCTCAAAAGTGCCTGAGGTGAACTGCGGTCCGTTGTCGGAGACAAGGACATCAGGACACCCATGAGTCGCAAAGAGGCTCGCAGCACCCGGATGATGGCCTCGGTAGTGGTGGAGGGCATCAGGGCCACTTCCAGCCATTTGGAATAGGCGTCCACCACTACCATAAAGGTCTGGCCTCGAAAGGGGCCTGTCAGATCGATGTGCACCCTTGACCAGGATGTCTTGGGCATCTCCCAGGTGTGTCCCTTAGCTGCCGGTGGTGCAGGCCTCGATTCTTGGCACGCTTGACAGGCGGAAACCCAGGCAGTGATGGCATCATCCATGTTAGGCCACCAGACGTAACACCGAGCCAACGCCTTCATTTTGACGATTCCCGGGTGGCCAACGTGCAGAGCCTCAAGGACACGTTGACGGAGTCTTTGGGGAATTACGACGTGGTCTCCCCACAGCTGACAGCCACGATGAGCCGAGAGTTCATGTTGTCTGGTTGCAAACGGCTGGAACTCCAATACAAAAGGCCCTTGTGGCCACCCCCAGTTGAGCACACGGCTGATGGTGCGATCCTGGGCAGATGCGGAGGCTACAGTGGTAGCTGATACAGGCGCTGCTGGAAGATCCTCAATCAGGAGGAGCGATGAAACAGGAGCCGGGTCTCCCACAAACGCTGGAAGAGGGCAATGGCTGAGGGCGTCGGCATGGCCCATCAATTTCCCCGGGCGATGGACGAGCCGGTAGTGGTAGGCAGCCAGGAAAATAGTCCATCTCAGCATGTGCGGCGAGAGAACTGGTGGAGTTGGTCGATCACTGGCGAGAAGGCCCAGGAGTGGCTTGTGGTCGGTGATGAGGTTGAAAGTCCTGCCGTAGAGGTATTCATGGAACCTCTTCACTCCAGCCACAAGTGCCAGTGCCTCCTTGTCGAGCTGGCTGTAATTCTGTTCAGTCAGAGATAGCGTCCTGGAAAAGTAGGCGAGCGGTGCTTCTCTTCCGTCTGGGAAACGGTGACTAAGGACAGCGCCAATGCCAAAGGTGAGGCGTCACAGGCAAGGACCAGCGGCCTGGCTTCACTGTACTGTACCAGCACACTGTCCGATGAAAGGAGAGCCTTGACCGCGTTGAAGGCCGCCGTCTCCTGATGACCCCAGGACCAAGGTTACAATGCTGTAACCTTGATAGGCACGCTTTCTAGGCACGCTTCCCATAGGCATTTGGTTGTCTACAGGGAAACACCTGATGCTGGACTGGAAGGGCCATTGGCTCTTCTTATGATTTCCCACCCACCCCTCCTGTTATGAGTGGGGGTTACAGCTCAGTGACAGAGCAGTTGTACAGCGCAGAGCAGACGTCAAGTGTCTGGATCAAGGGAAGTACAGTGGTACCTTGGTTCTCAAACTTAATCCATTCCGTAAGTCCGTTCCAAAACCAAAGCGTTCCAAAAGCAAGACGCGCTTTCCCATAGAAAGTAATACAAAATGCATCACAGACTTTTAAAAACAACCCCTAAAGCAGCAACGTAACATGAATTTTACTATCTAACAAGACCATCGATCCATAAAATGAAAGCAATAAACAATGTACTGTAATCACACAATCAGTCAGTAGCTGAACTGGGTTACAAAAACAAAAAGAGCTGCCAAAACAAAAACGCAAGGTAAATAGCAAAAACAGACAGACCTCAGCGTAACACTCAAAACAGAAACGTTGCCCTCAGAACAGAAGTGTGGCACTCAAACTGGAAGCATAATACTCAAAACGGAGCATGTTTGGCTTCTGAAAAAAGTTTGCAAACCAGAACACTTACTTCTGGGTTTGCAATGTTTGGGTTCCAAGTTGTTTGAGTACCAAGGCATTTGAGAACCATGGTACCACTGTAATAGTACCACTACTCTGCCTTGGTCAGACCACACCTGGAATACTGTGTCCAGTTCTGGGTACCACAGTTTAAGAAGGATGTTGACAAGCTGGAACACGTGCAGAGGAGGGTGACTAAGATGTTCAAGGGTCTGGAAACCAAGCGTTATGAGGATTTCCAGACTCGGACTAGATGGAGCCAATGTGGTATCATCTTGATGTTGTTTGACGACAACTCCCATGGTTATTGACCATTGGCCACGCTGGCTGATGTGCACTGTAGACCCAACAGCATCTTCAGAGGCCCACAATGGCTACTCTGATGATCAGGGCTGGCCCAAGACATTTTGGCATCTGAGGCGGACCCCAAAATAACGCACAAACCCTCCCTGCCAGGGAATAACGGGTGAAGGGAGCTCTACATCAGGAACAGGAGCAGGAAGGAAGATTGATATTGGAATCTGCTGCCTTCTGTGGACCCTGCTGCCTCAGGTAGTTGCTTCACCTTGCCTCATGGGTGGGCCAGCTCTGCCAATGTTGACAGTTAATAAACACTGCCTGCCTCCAGCCTGCCCCCCGGATCCATAAGGAGTAACAGTTTCTGAACACTAAAATAAATCCCTTTCATTCATTAATGAAAAGTCAATCTATGGCATATGTTGCTGCAAGCTCTGATATATCTCCGGGGACAGTAATCTGCGAGCAGTTACTCAACTGGCTAATTAACTGACCAAATAATATAACTCTGCCTGTTTGTAAATGTCATTTTGCCAGACCATAAAGTAGCAAAGCCCCTTTGCCTGCATTACGCTTTCATATGCCCTGAGCACTTGCGATGATGTACAAGATTATAAGATGCACAAGATTAACCCCACATTAAAGATGGGGGTGTAAATATATATATATATTTTAAAGGGCCTTGCATGGTACACAGACCCTCCAAATGTCCCTATTTTCCAGGGAAAATCACTGATTTACAGAAGCTGTCCCAGTTTCTGATTTGATCCTGGAACGTCCCTCTTTTCCTTAGGATGTCCCTATTTTTACTGGAGAAATGTTGGAGGGTATGAAGTTATGCCCTCCAAGGAGTCAAGGAGACAAGTAGATTACAACCTTTAGAAAACATCTGAAGGCAGCCCTGTATAGGGAAGGGTTTATTTTTTAATTTTTTAATTATTATTATGTTTTAATATATGTTGGAAACAACCCAGAGGGGCTGGGCAACACAGTCAGATGGGTGGGGTGGTATTATTATTATTAGTAGTAGTAGTATTGTTGTTGTTGTTGTTGTTATTATTATTATTATTATTATTATTATTATTACTATTATTGAATAGGACATCCCTATATTCATTGGAGAAATGTTGGAGGGTATGGGGGTGTGGTCAATTAGGCCATGTCTGGGGAAGCTTTCTCAGTCCCAGGACCGCATTTCCTTCTGGGGATCACATGCCAGTGGTGGGTGGGGCCAAAGGCAAAAGTGGGTAGGGTCATTAATGCATATTTTACTGCTGTAGATGGGAGCTTGCTTCACACACCCTGCTTCCTCATCCAGGCAAGCAAGAGGCATCATCAGAATTGAGGACACATTCCAGCCAGGCAGAAACACTTGAGGAAGGTGCAAAGCAAGGCAGCCTGGGAGAAAGTCTCAAAGGCCAAGCAGACAAGGCCAGAGGGGCACATTTGGCTCCCTGGCTCAAGGTCGCCAAGCCCTCAAGAATGGACAAGAGGAACTAGTATTGGCTACTGACTTATGAATGAGATCTGGGTTTTGGATTTAGGCACGGCAGGCTGACCTGTCTGTCCAGATGGGAGCCCAGAGGGCAAATAGCTACAACCACCAAGTTTGTAATGGCAATGTTTGCTTCCCTGGTTCGGCGGGGAGGGGGAGGGGAAGTTGGAGCTTGAAACTATTGCTTCAGCAATGAAGCAGCTCAGACTGGGTGATTAGGGAGGAGAAGGGGGCTCCACCCATTCCTGGGTCTCAGCCAAGTCCTGGCTCACTATCTCCTGTGGTCCAAGGGGAGATGAAGGAAGGGGTCTGAGAACTGCCCAAGAACCCAGGCAGCTGCTGTGGTCTTGGGTCAGAGAGGTCCCAATCCAAGAGCTCTTTGCATATAAGACACCAGGGTGTTTCAGTTTTGGCGTGATGAGCAACAGAACTGTAGGTGGCAACTTCTCAGTGAAGTACCTTTTGGCCCTGGACTAACTCCAGCCCCACTGGGTCCTCCTGGACAGGAAGAAGGCTTCCTAGCCCAGTTGAGCATCGCTCAAGTACTAAGGTCTTTCTGAACTCTGGTATGTTCCTGCCTGTTTGGCTAGTCTTTGAACTCTAACTACTGGCTTGACCCTTGACTCTGCTTCCTAGTTCATCTTTCAACCCTGCCTTGGCTATTCCAACATCTCCTGGTCCCTGGCTCACCTATTCTGCTACCCCAGGGATGGCCAACAGTTGGATCGTGATCTACTGGTAGATCGTGGGGTGTCTGTGGTAGATCGCCCTTCAACCCTCCCCCCTAAAGAAAGCTCAACAACTCTGACTTCCTAAAAAAAAGCTCAACAACTTTGATTTCCCCCTTTGAACTTTGGTCAATCCAGTGGATAGATCACCGCCAGTTTTTTTTATAGTGGGAGTAGATTGCAGTCTTTTGGAAGTTGGGTAAGCCTGTGCCACTCTAACTCACCAAGCTGTTACCGATGGCTCAGCATCGCTGTGCTCGTACCTGTTAACAAGAAGGCACGAGCATCTTCTA